GGAAGGACTTATTTCACTTCAGACCTTTCGGTCGAATAGTTTTGAGGCACTACTAATTTGTGTAAATGGTAATTAAAAGGTCATTTTAGCTTCGTAGCGCTAATTTTTTAAGGGATGTTTTCTTGTTATTTTTGCGGCTAATTCCAATTAGCTTAAATTATGGTGATAAAAATATAATTCTTATCTATTGTCTGAAAAAACTTTGGTCAAGAGATTCTTGAAATTACAGGTTCTGTATAGTCTTGATGTTTCTGTATGTATGTATTTATTTCTGTTTTGCCAAAACATTGGAATAAAAACAAACATTTCCTCCCAATTAGCGCTTGTTGTTCCTGTTTCTTTGGCTCGTACTTTCAAATGATGCACATTCCCCCAACTTCATACTTTAGCGGATTTTCATTCGGTCCATTTATCCTAGGTCCTTTCATATCAAGTTTGCTTCATGGTCCAGGCGTTGTTGAGTTATGCGCTTACCAACACATTTTGCGATTCATTTTTATATTATAGATGTCTTCTTTTCAGTTATCCTCCACAGACCTTCACCTTTCCAGTATCATATTTTCAGCAAATTTTATTGTTTCGTATGTTCTATTCCATTTTCAGCCAATTCTAATGTTCCCCAAATTGTTCTGCAGTACAAATTTGTTAAGAGGAAATACTCAGAATTTTTTTGAGGTGTGAGTGGTCATCACAATATTGTGTTTGAAATTTCTTTAGATGTAGTTATCATCAAGTATGAATATATTTTATGGATATGGAACTTTAGTCTCTAAGTTTGCTCCAATCAAAATAACATATGAAGTGAGTCAGTGTTCAATGTCTTGTGTCAGTGTTGCTTGTCTTCCATTCACTGGCACACATTCCTTCAACTTCCAAGAAAATCTGTGATAGTAAACAGCATAAACATCAGTCACATTAGATTTCAACATCTCAATTGTTTACATGTCTATCATTGTGTTTCCTAGTTGATTTGATTGACTTTTATATTCAACACTTAATAGAAAAGGAGGTCATAATTGAAACTTTTTATTTATGTAGATTACATTCACCAAACACTTCTTTACTTTGTAGGAAAGGAACTAGATTTCATGAATGTAGAGGAAAACATTACAGCTCTGGCTATGGAGAGGGAGACACCCTGGGCTTCCTTATTGCTCTGCCAGAATCATCAGATATAAAACATATTCCCCATACATACAAGGACAGGGTAAGTAAATGGACTTTTTTGTGTTTGGCTGTCTTGTTATGAAAATAACTAAAAGGTTAATTTGTATGACTTATAATTTTGGAATAAAAAATATCGTTCAGTAAAACTTGCTCAAAGGAATATGTGCAATGCAGAAACATGGCCAATTTGTACATAAACTGCAGCCTGGCATAGGTAAATTCAACACAAATACATTAATGCGGAATCTGGCTCCCCCCCCCCCTTACCTCCGTCCCTTGAAGGTACTGGTCCCTTGAGTTTGCATTGAACAAGGTTTACTGAATAAATTTTTATTTTCTATTAGTCTTACTTGCTTCTGTAACAAGTGTGTATTCCTTTTTTTCTTTGAATGGATCTAAAATTTGCCCTCCTTTTCATTCTTGTAAACTTTTCTCCAGCCACTTGTGAAATTTAAAAGTCACCTGTACTATGAAGAAAAGGACCGGGTAGCGGAGTCCTTGAAGGATTTAAAAGTTCTTAACGACAGCAAGATCATCTTTTACAAGAATGGTGTGTGTCAAGGAGTAGCATTTTCAGACATTTACGGAGGAGCCTACTTTCCTGCCCTATCATTACATAAAAGTGCAACAGTGTCCGTAAATTTTGGACCAAACTTCAAGTTTCCTCCTCCAGATACTCAATTCAGAGGAGTAAGTTTTTTAAACAGTTAATTGTTTAATATTCATTATGGAAGGGAAAAAAAAAAAAGAAAGAAAAAAAAAGAAAAGAAAAAAACTTTAAAAAGTTAAATTTTGTTAAAATGATAGTTATTTATGTAATAATTTTGATGGAAAGTGAGTTTATGGCATTCAAATGAAATGTTGGCAAATGAGGCAAGAGTAGGCATTTTGAAATAAGTGTGCTAAAGACACTTTCATAAGAATTCCATACATTACTTTTTAGTGTGAATTCATGGTAACTTACAAGTGTGTTATATCAGTATGTGAGAAGGCATGTTGACTTTTGTCAGCCTAGTGTTTTGTTTACTCTGCAGTACTCAATGGCCATGCCATACATGTATGGCAAAGTCAACTTTTGTTGTAAACATATTGTATCCTTTTCCAAATAATTAACAGTGAAAGTAAATACTAGTTTTCCATACAAGAGGGCTAAAAATTAATTTTATATCATAACGACCTGAATTATGATGGATGATTCATGACGATAAGATGCAAGTTTTCCCCAGTAGAACAGTGGACTCAAAACATGTTTGAGGAATCTTTAAGGACATGAAGTACAGTTATAAACAGGAAGTTTTTGGAATTCAAATTTTTTTTGATATTCGATTCGTGTTTAACAACTTCAAAAATTATAAAACATCTTTTTCTATTAGAGTATTATTTTGTTACTTTTAGACAACCTAGACTATTAAAATACATTAAACTATTAAAATATATTTAAAAAACAGAAGACTTAAAATGTATTAAATACAGCTGTTTAATTAAGTTTGGAGATAAAACTTGGGAATACAGGAATGTTTCATGAATTTATTTTTTCACATCTTCAGGTTTCATAATCAATTTACAAAGTCAAATTACAAAAGAAAAGCAAACAAATAACGTGTCGTGGTGTTATCAGCACTTGAAGAGAAACTATATGTATAAAATGTGTGTGATGAATCTTTGTTTTTTGCAGATGCATGAAAAAGCTGAGGAGGCAATATGTGAACAAACTATGGCTGATTTGTTGTACCTCACGGAAAATGAAGGAAAACTTCGACTTGATACGTTTTGCATGTAATTTTTTATTTTAAAAAATCTGTATATAGGATCTATTCAAAGTTGTTTTTGCCAAGTTTTTTTTGAAAATTTATAATCTTTTGCAATTGTGTTGAGCTGAAATACTACTGTTGTTCTGCCATACTCTGCATTTCAGGAGTTAATGAAAGTGAAGACAACACAAGAAATTTTAGAATTATTTTCTTAACGTAAAGAGGTTTTCTTTATTTGTTGCACTGCAGAAATGTAAAGGCTTTTAATAAAAATTCAATTGCCAAGAAATGCTTAATTAAGAATAATCAAGTAAATTTTTGATTACAAATTTTCACGTATGTAAAAATTTTGTTTTCATTTTACACCTTATTTGTTATTAAAGTCCATTGTGTAAATACTTGTACATTTCATCCCACAAATTACACGGAATTAATTTTTAGATCAATGGTGGGTATTTGTTTTCTTAAGAAAAAAATTTTTAGGTCAAATTTGATTGTTTTGAAATTCATTTGACTTTTTTTGAGTCGTAAAAAATTATTTGCATTTGTACGTTTTATATAATTGACTTCTTTTAATAATGAGATTATTGACTGCTCATTGAAATCAGAGTAAAGCAGATTGATCTAGAAGATAATCGTGTTGAGTATAAAAAAATGTACATTTAAAAAAAAGGAATTGATGTTTAAACCTTTAATTTTTATAAAACGAAAATAATTTTTGTAAGAAGTATTTGATACAGAACAACTGGAACAAAATTAACAGAATGAATGAAATTGTAATTAAAGTTCAAATAAAACAATTATGAATATGAAAAATGAAATATAAAAAATGTTTTTTTTTTTAAATCTGTTAAAGATTCAACTAATGAGAAAACATGGCTGTGCCAAAATCCTTGAGTCATTCTAAAACATTAAGAACCAGCATGCAAAGGGAAGAAGTGTAGCCCTTCCTTACTGCAAACAGACTAGTGTAGGCTGACTGTGTTTCCTTGTAACAAAATCAATACCAGATTAAATAGTATCTGTATTCCTGTGAATAAGAACAGCATTTAATTACAAAACCATATTAGCATGAAAAGTATTTTCTACAAACCAAATCCATAGAAAATTAATAGCCAAGCCAAAATAGACCGATCAAGTGAAAAAAAAAATCCTGGATTTTTCAACTTGACGTGTTTGTTCCTATTGCACATTACTCCAGAAATCATGAAGGGGGGGTGGGGGTCATTTGAAGGTTGTTTCTTCTTCATATCTTTGCATATATCTCCATAACTACCCATCAAAAATTATGCTTGTTACAAAAGTGAAGTAGATAAAATTTCCTGCATGTAAATTCATGTAAGATTTTGTTGTAAAATTAACTCTCTTTAAATTATAGGCTTGAAAAGTTAATGTTTTTATTTATGTCAATGCCAGTCTAAAATGATGTTATAATATGTTTAATGCACAGATAGTTCTCTCTCCCTCCTGCCCTACGTTTTATCAAGATGTATATGCATACACTTCGGGTACTAAAATTGATAATCCATAGATTATTTGTTGAGGACCGAGTACCAATGTTTGGTATAAGATTGTGTACACTGCACACTGTCAATATACAAAATATATAATATTCCTAGTATCGTAAATGGAATAGTCACGTTTACCGCATACTTTAGTATTTATTTAAAATGAAATAGTTTAATCGATCTTTGATGCATCACTCGATAATCACACTGCTACTAGCCCAGCCTCAGATGAATAGTACAAGAAAGAACACAGAAAATTCATCCTATTTTATTTCCTAGTTTATACAATATCAGTATAAAAAGAAGTATAAGGAACAATAGGCACAATTTTGAAAAATATTATACAATTAAAATCAGACATCACTTTATCATATTTCTTTGGCTTCGAGGGTTGGTTTGCCATTGGTCTCTTCTGTCTTCTGCGTCTTTCAAATTTGAATTGGATTTGTATTTCTTAATCGATTATCCTCTGGCTGCTTACTGCTAGGAATTAAAATATTACAAAACTGAAATTAGAATAATCAGTAGGCATTGATTTCAGACAAAATTTATAAAAGATTCCATAAAGATTCTTAAGATCTGCATTTTATTCAAAAGATCTTAATTTTACTCTAAAGTGTTCTTATAACGGCTATTGTAACTATTATAGGGAGTTTCAAAAATAAATTCAGCTTGTGCAGTGTGAAATTGAAATAATCATATGTCAATACATACTTCTTATGACAAATCCGTGTTTTCAATCCTTCAGTAACAAAAAAATATGAAAATGCGCGAGGATGGAAAGCGAAGTTCAGGAAAAGAGCTGCAAGTATTTTGTGAGTATTTAGAATGTGTTTCGAGTGTGGAGAAAATCCCTTCTCCATCCCCGAGCGCGAGCCAGCAGGGAGAACACTGCGTGACCTTGTGTGGCGGACTGTTACATTCAAAATATCTGTTAAACACTAGTCACAAAAAAATCAAAATTACTCCAAAAATGCTAATCTTACATACGACAGCATGTATATCATTGAATTTGTCTTTTTACGCTCGACATGATAGACCGAAAAAATATGTATAATTCTATTTGAAAAAACAAAGTTACCTCAAATATCTCGTAAAATGCAAGTGATGAACTAAAAATGAATACACATATCAATTAGCCCCATTCCTTCATGCACTTCCGTGAAAATTACATTGCAATAACTTTAACCGTTCAAAAGTTACAGAAGGTGCTGAAGGTACATGACACACCAGTATATTTCATTGATTTCAAGCAGAAATTACGCAAAAACAGTTTTTTCAAAATATTGTACATGACTTTTTTTAACAATCTTATTTTGTACAACAGGCCCTGTCTGAGGCAAAAATCTCTTGTCTTCAATTTTGTAATTTTAAATTTTTTGTTTTTTGCAATTTTCGAAAAAATCAGGAATACCCGAATATAAGACTAGCACCATATGTTTTATCGTCTCTTATGACAAACGAAGAAAATTTAAAGAAAAAATTTGGAACTATTTTTGAGAATTTTTGTTTGGTGTAAATTTCAATTGCAAATTACGTCAAAACTTCTTTTTCCCCGAAAAAAAAATGTACGTGACCTTTTTTAAGGAGCTAAGTTTGTACAACCGACTTTGTGACAAAAATATCTATCTCCAATTTTGAAGTTTTAAAATTTTGTTTTACAATTTTCTAAAAAAACGAATAAGAGGCTTGCACCATTATCCAGTCCTTTGTCCTCTTCAACAACAAAAGTTAATCAAATATTTGGAGTCATTTTTTGAAAATGTGCCAGGAGCTTTAGGTAAAGAACACCCAAAATTAAAATTTCGGTTTCAAATTCCAGGGTCCGCGACATCAGCTAGAACGATTGGAGAAAATCGGCTGAACGGTTTATGCGCTAGCGTTGTGCGGACGAACAGACAGATACGTTTTGCCGTCAATCGATTTTTTTATGAAGGACCCACAAAATATGGATTCTGGCTACACTACGTGTTAGAGGATTTTTTTCGATATTTAGCAACTGGACGTAAACTTTTCCTTACCAGGGCCCAGCAATAATAGTTTTTGTGTCGAAAATTGGCCATTTTCCGGCACACGATTACAATACTTTCTCTTCTTACGTTAGTGAGTGCGAGAAAGTAAGAAAGTCTTTCTGTCAATGAATTATGAAAAATAATACGTCTTCGGATATTTTCAAAAGCCAAAGAAAGTTTTGTTTCTACATGATGAAAATCAACCAACTCTACTAATAATAACCCAAGCAATACAATCTGTTAATTGTATGTTATATAAGTTATTTTGTTCTTTTAGTAATGAGATATATTCTATAGAGCTTTGTAGTATATTTCCTGAATAATTTTCAATGTTATGTCGTTGATAGAAGGCAAGCTTTTAAGTATTGGGAATTACACTGTAATGAGAATTGCAATAACAAGAACTCAGGCCCCCTTGCAAGATTCTTATTCTTAGAGACAGCACATTCCCGAAACGCAAATACCATTTACGATTAACAAGAACAACGGTCTCGTACTCGTCCTCGCTTGTTGAACCTTCCGCTCGAAATGGACGTTCGAGGGGTTCTCAATGCAGCTGTAATGGCAGCTAAATATGCGTCTGTGAGATTGCACACTGCACCCAGGCAGGGAATGGCACAGGTCACTAGAGATTGTATCGCCAGTTTACAGAATGCGGTCCAGGGTGTTGTTCACTCGGAAGGAAGAAGTTTGTCAGTGATGTCACCCTCAAAATAATTGTTTTGTACGATAATTTTGTTACGCCGAACATGTACGTACTGATACTAATTACTATAAACTAATACTAACTACTACAAATACTATAACAATGCTAATGAGATAATCCTCTTTTATACGATAATTTCAAATATTAAATTATATTCTAATATAAATTCATGAGAATGCAACGTATGGTATGTTCTAGAATAGCTTACAAACTGAAAATACTACGTACGTAAAACCCATGCAGTGTGCACAAGAGAAGTCAGGATCAGTTACCATGGTAAGAAGTACTGACAAGAAAAATTACCGAAGAAGTGCTTCAGAAGCAGTAGAGGATTATATGAATCCACATTATGTCATTCATCAGCTTATATATTCTGCTGCTTTCAGAACACTAAACCCATCATTACAGGTAAAAACTAAATATAGATAATGGGCAAATTCATTCTGTGTAATATTAACTAGATGAAAATTTTAAGTAAGAAAAAATACCAGTATTGTGACGCAATCTCTTTCGTGAAATGAAGTCTGAACCCATAACGTAGGCGAACTAGAATATTTAGTACCATCTCAAAGTCTTAGGGAATGGAAAGTGTCATATATCAAAAACCCAGAATCGGGGATCTAAAGTATGACGGTGAGATTCAATTATATTAACCCGGATCCTTGGTAAATATTACAACCACAAACGGTCAAATCCGTATCTGCGCCATACAAGTAACCACATATAAATTAATAAAATAATACTATAAATATATTGTGTAATTATATTATATATTATAAAATTAACAAAGATCATTTTCAGAAGGTATTTCATTGTTATAATGTTATTCCAATTTTTAACATATATTATAATTTGTTAAAAAATAGTGTATTATAATTTTTTTAAACAGTCATTACTTAGTAACAGTTATTTTTATTTCATGTTTGTCATTATATAGTTTACAACCGATTGAAACCCAAATCAAAGCATTAATCATTGAGTTAAAATAATAAAATATGTTCAACCGGTCCAATTTCAATATGTGAAATTATTTTAACAGAAATTAGTAGTAACGTAATTATTTGCATTACCTTGCGCATCAGCCTCCTGGAGTTGTCTTTCATACTATTGCCTTCATTATTAGGATTTTGTATCAGCTTGTTCTTCAAATCGAGATAGCTGAGTGCTTTTTGCAGTTTTATATTATTACTCAGTAGCAGATCCTCCAACTCCTCAACGTTCTTTTCCTGCTTCTGTAACTAAAAACCAAATCGATTCTCATGCTACTTAATATTACTACTTATGGGAACAAGATTTATCCACTTTTTCTGTATCAGGGCCCCACATATTTCTATCAAAATCAGCTGTTTTTGCTGCATCATATAACTTTCTCTATAATACATACAACATACAACTCTGCATATGAGAAAGCTAGTTGCACGCTGACACTATACTAACACACAGTATTTCTATTCACTGCAGGACAAATAAAAAACATAACTGAAAAATTATGCCATTATCGTTTGCCAAATGCTTGATTTTTATGACAAGTAAGTTTTGTGTTATAAAAGAGATGAAGTATTTTACAACGAACCTCTTTCTGCAATACGGAGGACTGAGATGAAATGACTCGTAGAGACGAGGCAGTGTTTTGCAGCTGACAATCTCTTTCATGAAGTTCCAAATGCAGCAGCTCAATTTCTTCGTTGAGGATATTCACAATGTCGAGATATCTTAAATTCTCAGCTTGTACTTGACAAACCTTCTCCAACCAGTACGTTTCCTGCGCCCAGCAATTCTTTAAGTGCATGGTGGATGTTTGGATGCAAGCAATTGTAGAGGACGTTTTGGTCCTTATGGAGAGGGAGTAACAACTGGCAATGATAACTCGTTCGTACTTATCGCACATTCATGTTACTTTACATTTTCTGACAATGTGAAATGTCGGATACCATCATGTACATCCGAACGATTTATATAAATATTGATTGAATGATTGATTAGTAATTCCGAGAGCTTCAACCGCTAAGGTCAATAGTCCCGTAAGTGTGTTTCTATTGCGGGAGGCGGCGGTGACCCGGCGCCGGCCTACGATGTTGGCTTGCGGGGGTTTTCCCCAACCAGGTATCGCCCACTTGTGGGCCACCGCCCCACATAAGTTCTATGTCCCCAACTGGTCTCCCGACAAGTGTGATAGTGTCGTGCGTGTAAGTGTGTGTGTGTGTGTGTGTGTGTGTGTGTGTGTGTGTGTGTGTGTGTGTGTGTGTGTCTAAGCTTACTTAGACACCTCTTAAGGTGAGGTAAGTGTAAGGTAGTGGAAGGAATAAAGCGCGCGGGCTATGGCCCGTTTCTAACGGCACTTCTCCGGCATTCGCTTGGTGATGATCGGAGAAACGACGGAAAACTATACCGATCAGTGCAGCCGGCCGTTAGAAGACTCCTCCAGACAGCGGCTGAATCCAACATGGTATTTACCTTCTGTCGAAAATTCTGCCACTGTCGGGACTCGAATCCTAGGACCTCCCGGTTTAGAGGCACTGCACTGATATCAGTTGATGCCCTGAGCCATATAAGTCGGTCAATTACATTCTAAATGAGAAAAAGTAATATAATTTTGTATGTCGCACCTCTGCGGTGAAGTTCTCTTGTTGCATTACTTCGCGCTCCGCTGCATTCAACAACTGCTGTTGATATTTGGAACAATCTCTTTTTGCCGTTTCGTAATTTTCAGAAGTTTCACTCAGTATCATTTCCAGATTCGCTATCTGCAAAAAAGAGAATGTCCAACGAATATGATTATGCACATGTGACATGACGTCGTGCAAGGGAAGAGTACAAGACTTTCTTTTCTGCCGACTATCAAACTGTTTCTGCAAACTCACAAAATAGTTCGATTTCCGGGGGGGGGGGGGATCCTAGAATGTTGTAACTAGTGGTGCTCCAATAGCACATGCATTCTCGCATTATTTGTAACGGCTCCGCCACATTATACTGCTACATGAAACAGCAAAAGTGTTTTCAACTAGCGAAATCCTGTGCCGCGATTCGAACTACGGTCATCGAGTTAAAACTCGCCGCGCGTTTTACCGCTACACCCCAGCCTCTCTCCCGTAGTCACTTGGGCCCACGCTTAAAAAACTAATTTTATCTACCATTACTTCAAACACGCCGTCTTTGAAAATTCGGAGAGTCCAACGGAAACGAGTTCTGCCCCATTCTTTTAAGCGTCTCTTCTTTATCCGTGTAAAACATTTACAGAAAACTAGTGATGTTACACAATGGCACAGACTTTCTCGTATTCGTTTTTTAACCTTTGGTCTGGGCTTGCTTTTCGGTGCTCTTGCTAGCTGCCATATATCAGCGCCCAAAGACTACTTTTCTTTTAAATTCTCTTGATTATTCGGTTTTCTAATGGTAGAAGTGAAATACTACTTTAGAAATATTAAACAAAATTAAAGCCTCGTTGTATATGGAAATTTCCGTTTTAAAAAATGGAGCTGTTTTAAATGGCGTTTAGCGTCACTGTAAATGGATATTTTAAAAACTTTTTCACAGAAATCTTCATTTGAAGTCATTTAAAGCACATTCAGTCAAAAATGCAATAAAGTTTACAAATCGCTGGAAATGTGCATATTAACGACGTGAGATTTTTTTATCTGCCTTTACCTTTATCTACTTAAAATAACCTTTATCTACTTAAAAAAATAATACAGCAAAATGAAGTTTATATAATCTCACACAGTGCAATTAGCACTATCCGCACAGAAAGTAAGAAAACAAAATGGGTTTCGGAGAAAATGGCGTTTCTAAAAATGCGGAATTTTCAGAACACTTTCACAGAAAACTTTTTGGATTTTCGTGGAACTTTATCACTCATCATTTGAAGCACATTTTCGCATAACTGCAATAATGGAAACATATCACCGCTAAGGAAAATACTAACAAAGTGAGACGTGTAAGAAAAATTACATTTTTGTAATTTTTGAAAAAGCAAAAGAAACAACTTTTATGGTGTTTATGTCATCTTTTAGCGTAAATATAGCGCTATCTCCACCAAAGATTTAAAAAATTTGAAATCGCTTTTGAGAAAATATTTTTTTCGTTATTTTTTAATATTGCACATACCGCAAGTAATATTGCACAAAAGCTGGTGGAGGTGATGAGGAAAGCTGAGGATGGCGGGTTCGTGGTAGGCGGTGCGTTGCGGGGGTCGGTTGGGGCGGGAGGGGTGGTTGCTGGTGGGGGGTAGGGTCGTTTGGGGCAAGGAGGGTAGCGTCAGGGAGTGGAGAGGGCGCAGCTGTGTTAAGGATGAGTGGGGTTGGTTGGAGCGAGGAGGAAGATGGTGTAGTGTTAGTGATGGGAGGTGGTGCAGCTGTGCTGGTGATAGGTAATGAGTGAGGGAACAAGGTCGTCAAAATAGAGGCTGTCGTACGTAGGGGGTGGAGTGGGGAGCGAGGGAAGATGTGGGGACGGCGGAGAAGGTGTCGACGACGAGATGCCAATAGCATGCACGTCGTGATCCAAGAGGAAGTGCCGCTGAACGGTGCTATGGCCCAAACCTCGAGAACGACGTAGCGGGGTGGTAGAAGATAAGCCGAAAGCAACAAAAACAAACGTTAGCTATTGTTGGTGAGGAACAGAAAGAAAATGAGAGATGACTGTAACATGGGTAAAAAAGAGGAGAGTAAGAAAAACTAACGAAAATATTAATCTATTCGGAGGACATTTCAAACTTTAGGACATGAACAGAAACGGTGGGTGTTTTCCTCAGTTTTCTATTGTAGATTAGTCGTAAGCCTAGAAAATCACTGGGATTGCGACTTGAATAGCAGTCGGGTGGAAACACAGAATGCGCATTATCAAGGTGTACAATTATGGTGTCTCTGTCGTTAACTGCCACTTTTTTCGCGTGTGTAATAAGATACGGCTTATGCAGTTCCAAATCCCTCAAATTGACCAGAGCAAGGGACTCAAGGTTTGATCTTGTTGTTAAGCGATCGAATAATCTAAGGTTTGCCGTCCCATTGGTTCAGGTAATTCAAGAAATAAAAATGAGAGAGAAACAAACATTGAGAACATATTTGAAAAAAAAATTATTACCTCACCATTCTCGTGACATTGGAGGAATTATTTCGTTATCTCGCAAATTCCGCTTTGGAAATAAACCTTCCGAAAGTGATTGAAAACAACGAAACTTCAAAGAACCATGAGCCCTGAGCAGTCATGCCAATCTCAAGGACATTACGGCGTTGCCCAATTTATTAAAGACTTTTCGCCTCAAACATTGAAATTTTTGCCATTATTAGTAATTACGGCACAAAAATGTGGAGATATGTGTCTATAATGTTACGTTTTATGATTTTGCTCTTACTAATTGTGTAATAGTGCTTTTTTAAATCTTATGCTTCAATTTTTCCTTCCGTGCCCACGCGATCTGTTGGTTCTAGTTAAGAAACTAGTCAACGGTAGCTCTTTATGTGGTATTAAAATATTTTTATTTTACATCTATTAAACTAAATTAATTCGAACAATTAAATAAAACTCAGCAGCCCTATTTGGTTTATGTAGGTCCCACAGTACCCACTTATCTCGCAAATAATTATTTTTCAACGTAATATGAACTATCTACTAGGGAATGTCTCGCTCTAACCACCTTAAGGAGAAAGAAGGTGTAAAGAAATCTCTGTTTCCAAGAAAATCTCATGTTGCACAATTGAACGCTCTTGGGACACTGGCGAATCGGTCGGTCGCGCCGGATAAACGGGGCCCTTGTTGACTAGTCCCCGGGGAATAGAGGGCTCGATCGCTGGGGCACGCGGCGCGTCATCTTCGGTGAAAGATAAAATAAACACTCCGTGTAATGGTACCAATAATACGAGAATATATGTGCTGTTTTACCATTGGTAGTTTGCTCAAAAAAGGTGCCCATACCAAAAACATCAATAACATACTAATTAATGTTATTAAATCTAACTTTACCTACCTTCATCAGAGAGAAATAATTTTCAATAGGTCTTCTTTCTTCTGATTTAAAAGTACTTGACTGAAGAACAGAGAGAAAATAATTAGAACTATTACAGAGTATTAATGAATACTTGGGTACAGGACATTGAAGCATTGTTATTATCCGCGTACGTTTTATTGGGCCCTCGCTTCGCTAGAAGCGAGAGTGGACAGTTAAGTTATTTTGACGAAGGGAATTTTATGTCAAATTCGTAGTTCATTTTTCCATGCAAAATAGCTTATAATACACGGGAGCGAACATTTCTCGTTACCAGATTTTGTCTTCAACGCTCGTTGCTATCATTTATTCTTAATCCACTAATGTTGGGAAAGGAGTGGGGGTCGATACTCCGGGGATAAAGGAAACATGCGGATATAATAATTAAATGTGTATTCACTGAATGCGTATGTGAATTCAAATATAATTTTCATCCGGCATAATTGCACTTAACCCGCCATTACTCGCGCTTATTTTTGTAACCAGATTGCTCGTGTGTTAGATTTTATCTATCAATTGTTTGTTTTATTTATTGTTTTATTATCAGTCAAATTCGAGCATTAATATTCCGAGATATTTGTTATTGAGTTCTACAACTTGTGTAGATTTGTAATAATGCATAAAGATAAGATGAAGGCTGATAATGTTTGTTAGTCATGGAATCAAAAACATAGTCATTAAGTGAAATATTATCTAACGCTAATGTATTTAAGGCAAATCATAGAATACAATTAATGCAATAAACAATAAAACTCCTCCACTATGAAACATCTAATGACATTTATGAACTAAAATAAGCTTCGACAAATTTATATTCATTGCAAACAAAAAGTCTTTCATGGATGTTCTTTTCGGAAAGATTTTGAGCAAGTATTACAACAATGCAGCGTGAACTTGGTTTGCCTCTTCGAACAAGAGGCGAATATTCTTTTCTCTCTTGGTTGCTCCTAGACATAACTTTTTACTCAAAAAAGAAAACAAAACTAAGTAACAGAAATTACAGTGGAGGGATAGCGGACAACATTGTTGATAAATCTACGAATCTAATCTTTAAGTTGTAGAAAACACGATCACGATAAGACACTAAGCTTTTCTGATCTCCACGCAAGTGTTTAAGACACAAAAGAGGGTGAATAACAGTCAGAAGATTGGACATGAAAATCGTATCGAAATATAACGCGATTGTTCGCGCGTGAAAAAAATATCTACTCCGATTCGCCGCATCAATTAGTGCCTTCTCCTATTGTTTCCCTTCACAGAACTGATAAGAACGGTGAGCGGATGCAGAGTTAAATCGTGAATTCGACCTAGCTAAGTAGCTAGTTTCGAAAATCTTGCCACCGTCGGGGCGCGAACCTTAGGACATCCTGGTCAGAGTCTGCAGTGACATCAACTGATGCCCTGAACCCCCTAAGTCTGGCGCTGGGGCCGCAACATATTCGAAATCGACCTTTGCAAGCTGAAGTACAATGGGAATTTTTCTGGAACACCACTTTATTCTGAGCTATCTAGTTTCATCATCGGCTTCTACTAGTGAAGGTTGGGTTATTAGATAAACAAAAATTGGTCGTACTCGGAGTTTGTGTAACTCTTGACACTGTCTAACGTAATGAAGCAGTGCCGAGTAAAGCACGTCTAAACGTTTTTGAAATGAATGTTTATAAAATCCGGATTTTGAGAATGTTGTTCTGCAAAAGCGTGATGAAATTGGAAGCAATTTCTGTGTTGAATAAATTTCCCCAGATGAATATTGCAATTAAATTACGATCATAGAGCTTCCATGACTCCTGTATTGCACTTTTAATGTATTGAGT